GTGGATCCTCCAGGGAGTCATAGTAGCACTCCCTCACGTTTCTGCTGGACTTCTTTGGCTGTGGATGAGTTTCCTGATCAGAAGTAATGCTGCATGACACTACAGCAAGCAGGCTTGCCATCAAGTCCCATCCTGACTTCCTCAATGACGGAATGTGCCCTACAAGTGTGAGCCAAATAAACCCTTTCCTCACCCAAGGGGCTTTGCTCAGAATGTTTCATACAGTGACAGAAAGGAAACTGGATTATTCACATAATAAAAGATGAAGGAATAATAAAATTATCACTCCAATGGAAGAGGAAGCACTCTTCTATTGTAATAGTTTATGACCTTTCCATCTAGGCAAAAGGACCTTCTGTTGCTCACATTCTCTGACATCATAAAGAAGAGGAGAAAGATTAAAAGAATTGGGGACCTATCTGCTACATCTCTTTGGAATGTTGTTCATCCCTTAAATAAAATCATTTCAGTTGTATCTGGTCCCATCCATATTTCTTATAGTTTTTTTTAACCCATTAGCTACAAATCAACCCCCACACAGAAAACATCAAAACAGAAACTGAATTTATAGTTTCAAAGAAGCAAACAAAGGTCATAGTAAGCATCTATAGAAAGCGCCACAATAGGTGCTTCTTCCACGAGCTTTATTTATTTTTCTTATTTTTTAAATGGGATTTATTTATTTATTTATTTAGGGTTTTTCGAGGCAGGGTTTCTCTAGAGCTTTGGAGCCTGTCCTGGAAACTAGATCTTATAGACCAGGCTGGCTTCGAACTCACAGAGATCTGCCTGCCTCTGTCTCCCGAAGTGCTGGAATTAAAGGCGTGTGCCACCACCGCCCGGCTCCATGCGCTTTATTAGACAACAACAAACTAGCTCAAAATCAGACGCTTCTTTCATTGGGCTTCTAAAAAAATATTTTTCTTATTTTTTTTTTTTTGAGATTATAGCATTTCCCCTTTCCTTTCCTTCCCTCCAAACCCTCCCATGTATCACTCTTACCTCTGCTCCCTTTCAAATTCATGGCTTCTTTTTCTTAATCATTGTTTCTTCACACACACACACACACACACACACACACACACACACACACACTTTCAGGGGTGACCATATTGGTTGGATGACCAATTAAGTGTACTCTTCCCTGGGAAAGACTATTTCTCCAGCCCTCAGAATTCCTTAGTTGCCTACAGTTCTTTTTTACGGTAGAGGACTCCAGAGCTTTCCCCAGGGCTTCCTAAAAATGACAGGAACAAGGACTACAGGAAGAGACATGCCCAGGAGGTATTAGTTGCTTTTTTACGGCTCAACACCAGAGGGCACCAAACTTCAACAATGGAGCTGCTAGTTTTGTTCACAGCTACTGTAAAGAAGCCATAATAAAAACGTTATTCCTCTGCTTCAAATTCTTCAGTGGCTTCCTAACTCTCTAGCATACAGCCCATTTCTATGGCCCACAGCTCTAGATTCCTCTTTCCTGGTACACTCACATTCTATCAACTCCACCATTCACAACCACCACACTGTAACTAAAACACACAGCAGACCTGATTTCAGTTAAACAGCTAAGCACTAGCCTTTTCTCAATAGTTTTCTTATGAAGCCTTTTCAGACAGCACCATCTCCAATGGGAATCCAGCCTTTGCCTCTGAAGAATGCTCAGCCATCTGAGGTAAACACCTCCTCCCCCATTGTTCCTGGCTGCTTCCTCCCAATCTCCCTTTGAATTCCTTCAGTGCAAGAACCTCTACATTCTGGGCCCAATACCAAGACAAAAATCCTTCACTGACTCAAACAGATGTAGTTAAAGAGGTGAATACTTTGAAAGACTTTTTTAAAAGGACGTGTGGTGTGCTGGCTAGTTTTTATGTTACTGTGACACAAGCTAGTGTCATGGAGGAATTCTCAATTCAGAAAAACACTGCCATGAGACTAGCCTGTAGAGAAGTTTGTAGTGCATCTTCCATGATTGATGCTTGATGTGGAGGGCCCAGTCCACTGTGGGTGGTGCTACCCCTGGGTTGGTGGTCCTGTGTGCTTTAAGAAAGCAGGCTGAGCAAGTCATGAGGTGCAAATCAGTAAGCAACATTCCTCCATGGCCTCTGCATCAGTCCCTGCCTCTAGCATCCTTCCTACCCTGACTTCCCTCAGTGATAGAGTGTGATCCAAGGGCTACATGTAACTTAAAAATAAAACCACATCTTCATCCATTTACTCAGTGACGAACACTGATTAATTTTCAGGTTGATTTTCAAATCTTGGTTACGGCAAATGATGTTGCAATGAACACGAGAAAGTACAACATCAAGTTTGGGGATACACACTTGAGGCAGAGAGGGCTTCATCATGTTGTAATTCAACTTTTAGTCTTCTAAGGAACCTCCAAATATGTCTTCCATACTGTTGTACTAATTCACATTCCCACTAACTGCATAAACGTTCTCTCTTCTCCACAGAAGTGTAAGTGAGGTAAAAGGGTTCCAACTTTTCTTCTCTCTCTCTCTCTCTCTCTCTATATATATAATATATATATATATATATATATATCCAGTAGTCCAAGTATTCCTGCCTCTGGTGACTGTTTTCTCCTATTGAACTGTCTTGGAATCCATGTCCAAAAAAAAAAAAAAGTCAATTAGCTATAATATAGAGATTTATTTCTTATTGGGGTGCATTATGTGAAACTCCCAAATAATCAATAAAAATTATCATATTGGGGAGAGAAAAGGTTCAGGGTCCTAATAGTACTCCTAAATTCAAAAACAGAAAAAAAAATATTTTTTGACTTTCAATTATATCCCATTCATCTGCAACTGAACACTTAAGTCTTGAGACTAGGACATGAGTCTTCCAATTTATTCTTTATCAAAAATATTTTAGCTATTAGTCTTTGCTTCATAAATAAATTTATACTTGGGAACAAGTCCCTGTCCTCCCTTAAAAAGTTGACTATTCTGGGGCTGCAGAGATGGCTAAGAGGTTCTGAACTGCTCTTCTCGATGTTCGACAGTTCAATTCCCAGCAACCACACCCATCTGTAATAAAATCTGGTGCCCTCTTCTGGCAGGCACATATGCAGACAGAACACTGTATACATAAAATAAATAAATCTTTTTTTAAAAAATTGACTCAAGATATCTTCTTCCCTGCTCCCATATCCACCTTTCCTCTAGGTCTTGGGCAGCAGAGGAGAGGGTGCCTGAACTGGCCTTGTCCCATAGTCATACTGATGAATATCTTGACTATCACCATAGAACCTTCATCTGGTGATGGAGGGAGATAGAGACAGAGACCCAATCAGAGCACTGGACTTAGTTCCCAAGGTCCATTTGAAGAGCAAGAGGGAGAAGAGAAGATGAGCAAGGAAGTCAGGACCGTGAGGGGTTTGGTCCACCCACTGAGACAGTGTGCCTGAGCTAATGGGAGCTCACCAAAGCCAGCTGGACTGGGACTAAACGAGCACATGATCAGACCAGACTCTCTGAATGTGGCTGACAATGGGGGCTGACTGAGAAGTCAAGGATAACAGCACTGGGTTTTGATCCTACTGCATGTACTGGCTTTTTGGGATCCTAGTCTGTTTGGATGCACACCTTCCTAGGCCTGGATGGAGAGGGGAGGGCCTTAGACTTCCCACAGGGCAGGGTGCCCTGCCCTCTCTTAGGACTGGAAGGGGAGGGGGAAGGGCCAGTGGGGGAGTGGGAGGAGGGGAGGAAGTGGAAATTTTGAATGGTATTTATAAAGTAATAAAACAGGAACCAAACATTTAAAAAATTTCTAGGCGAATCTCTGCGTGAGTGGAGTAGTCAAGAAAGGAGTATTAAGCAGGAAGGGAGATGGGAGATATCTGGAAAATCCTGAATTAAACCAAAGCCCAAATAAACAGCAGTCCTGTTTCAGAAGTTCTAAAAGTATCACTCCCTTTGAGACACAGAATCTGTTTACAATGCCCAGTTCTTGTCTCAAAAATAAAGTATCACTCACTCCCTTTGAAACACATGATTCTGTTTACAATGCCCAGTTCTTATCTCAAAAATACTGACAGTATTTTGTACACTTTAAAATCTTCTACAAGATTGTTTTGTGTTCTTATATGACTTCCACTACGTTTTTCTAATCTTTAAGAAAAAAAAGCAGTATTGTTAATAAGGTTAAGGTTTCAGTCTGAAATTAAAAATGGCTACCAAAAAGTGGTCTCAGCTGCATAACCCAACTAAACACAGACTGAAAGAAGATGACCAACCACTGGCCTTTTCAACTGTATCTGGACCCAGTGACATGGAGCCTCTATTTTTCCTTATATTAAAAGGAAAAATATTTAATTATAAAATAGATCTTAAAATAATTTAATCATGGGACTAGAGAGATGTCTCAGTGACTAACATCACTGCCTGCTCTTCCAGAGGATACAGGTTTGATTCCAGAACCCATGTGGCAGCTCACAATGATCTGTAACCCCAGTTTGAGGATCCAAGGGATCAAACACCTTCTTCTAGCTTCTGGGATCACTATGCACACAGGTAATACACAACTATACAAGCAGGCAAACAAAATTTTTCATATGGTAAACATAAAAATAAATCTTAAAAAAACTAAATGTTTATTTATTATTATTTTAAAAACCTGTTCTATACCACAGCAGGCTAAATAACTTACAATTCCTTTCTCCTTTTTTATCCCTATGTGTACACGTGTACATGAAGGCCCAAGATCAGCAACCATCCTTGGTCACTATTCTGCAATATTCATTTACATAGGGTTTCAATCTAAACCAGAGCTTGCATATATAGCTACTCTTCTCAACCAGCTTACTCTGAGCTCTCTCGGCATCAACACTCACATGGGTTTCTGGGGACTCAAACTCTGGTCCTCGTGTTTGTACATGTTTTCACATCTGGATCATTTCCCCACTGTTTAAATGTTGTTCTGTATTTTTTTTTGGGGGGGGGTATCTGTGTGTATGGCATTTTTGGTTCAAAAGTATACCTCAACCATCTCACCTTGATTATTTCCACCAACTGATCCACACCACTGTCCCCAGGAAATATTGGTTGTCCTAGCAACAACTCAGCCAACACACAGCCTGCAGACCATACATCTGAAGAAAAAAAAGGGGGGGAGGTTATAACACTATAATTTGAGGTGAAATCTATATTTTATTTTTATCACATAGCAATGGTTATATCCAAATGACAATAATTTAGTCAGAATCAGTGATGGTTTCATCCCACATATTGCTAATTAAAAAAATCTATTCATATGCTTGAACCCTTTTTATTTTTTTAACAAATACATGTTTTTTTTTTTTATAAGTATTCATCTCTTACAGTATGTGTGTGTGTGAGTAAAGAAAGGGAGAGACAGGGAGACACACATAGAGAAACTAGGGCTGACTCATTATGTAAGCCCTAGATTGGCTGGAATTCACAAGAGATCTACTTGCCTCTGGTTCCTATGTGCACATACAAATCTTACTTAGCCTTAGGAACCAAGATCAGGGTTGGAGAGATTGCTCATCCATTAAGAGCACTTTCTGCTCTTGAAGAGAACCTCATTAGATTCCCAGCATCCAAATGATGGTTCACAACCATCCATAGTTCCAATCCTAAGAAATTCGACATCTTCTGACCTCTACAGGCACTAAGTATGCATGTGTTATCTGTATACATATGCAGGCATATATATGTGGATATATATAAGCAAAACACTTTATACACATAAATTTTAAAAACTTTAAGAAGAAAGCATTTTAGATCTAAAAATGGGCCAAATCCATGCTTGTTAGGCATACATAAACGGTCCATGTGTCAGACAATATGACTGTAATTATTTTAGGTGAGCCTGGCACAACTCAATACAGTATCTTACATATAGGTATATATAGTATAGATAACCAATATCAAACATTTGAATAAGACATGATCAATTAGAATATCGAATGACATTCCCAAGGACAAAGGGTTAAATTTGCTCTTGGGGACCACTGAGTTAATAAATATACTAAGAAAGTCACCTTCTATTCCTATAGTACTTTAGTAACATTTTATTTACTCCTCATAGTAACCATGAAAAGTAGGGAGAATTAGCCATCATTTTCATTTTACAGCTCAGGGAGAGGATACCTGATGTCAGTCTCAGCTTCCCAACCCCATGCACACAAAATTAAAATATGAAATAAAATCATTTTGTCCCTTATCAAACCTAGCCTTAAGTTTGATGGATTCTGCCTTGCTTTTCAGATCCAGAGGATCATGGTCTTTGTGCTGACACAGCAAATGTACTAGAACAGGTAAGACAGGTCAATGAAGATTTCAACTCTCTCACCCTTGTGTCACTAGATATTTCTAGTGAAACTTTTAAACAACCAGTGGGTGTAGCTGAACTAATGAGTTAAGTTGACCAAAAATTAAGTAATGCATACAGAAATTCAAAAATATTACTGCCATATCAATTACAGTATTAACATTTTAAAAGTAACATTATTAATTAATCAATTATCTAAGTAGGTATCAGGCTCAGAAGTAAATATTTCAGGAGAACTAGAAAACTAATACAGGATCCATGAGACAGCTCAGGAGATAAAAATTCTTGCATTGCATGGCTGAAGGCCTGAGTCTGATCCACAGAACCTACATAAGGACAGAGGAGAAAGCAGACTCCAAAGCTGTCCTCTGACCTCTGCATGCATGCCATAGCATGCATCTTCCTGCCAATCATCCTTGCCTCATTAATCTTTTAAATAAACTTAATAAAAGAGCTATAGTACTTACACTTCATTTGAAACTTTAAGTTCAAAACAAATGCATTAACCAACTACAATACAAAATAATACTTTTATAATTTGAATGCTAAAAAGCATAGAAATAGAAAAATACACATTAAAGTCTAAAAGGTTAATTTTAGTTAAATTTAGTTCTACACATTTCTGCAAAAATATATTGCAGCCATGCCCTTTCCCTGTTGGAGAAACTCTTAAGAATCAGGGTGCAATGACCAGTTAGAAGCACTATATTTGGGTTTTGTACTCACCTATACTAGAGGTATAATCAGTGGCTCCAAAGATCAACTCTGGTGCCCTATAGTACCGAGAGCAGATATATGAAACATTGGGTTCTCCTCGGACCAGCTGCTTTGCACTAATGAAAAAATAGAGATAAAAAGCAATCTTTAAATCCATACATCAAAGAAATGAGCATTTCACACACCACATTTACCTAAGCCTCAGAAGACTGCAATAATGCAACAACACACTTGTAACTGATTACAAGGAAAGAAATACGCAATCTCATCAAACTGGTATAAAAAAGTAGTAATTTTTAAAGGAAGCATTTGTCAAGTGTTACCTAAAAAACAAAGAGATTAAAAATTACAAAAGGATACAGATTTTGAATTTTTTTGGGTTCCCTGTTTCCTGAATTCTGTTTCTGAAATATAAAAATGGTTGCCAGGCACAGTGGTGCAATCCCAGCACTCAGGAGGCAGAGAGTTGAATCTCTGTGAGATGGAAGCCAGCCTCATCTACAGTGAGACTTCTTGGTCAGCCAAAACTACACAGGGAAACCCCGTCTCACATATAATAATTAAATAAAATATAAAGATAAGGGGCAGGAAATTTAAAGAGTGAGACTAGATCAGAATAGATGAATGTATCAATACCCTTCACCTACATGCTTTTTTAAAAAGAGTAAGAAACTGTGCTCTGCTTTTAAATTGGACTTCTGACTCAGGATGACCAATTCAAGGTTTGCATAACCAAACTATCCATGCTTTTATATTCTATTCAGCTTGCTGTCTAAACACCCGTTACTAAACAAACTGCAAAAAGGCATTCAATTTCAGGGGAAAAACAACTCAGGACTTATAAATTCTATCTCTGTTTACATATTATTACAATTTTGCTCCTAAAGTACTTTATAGTATATAGACTTAAACACTGATGTGAATTACAGTGTCCCTCAGATGACCCCACTCCAAATCAGCAAGCTGACCTACGAGATACACTGACACAGGAGATAAATACACACAAAATCAAACCAGAAAATATCCGAGCTAAAGGTACAGAAAGGCAAAGACACAGCCAGGAGAAATGGTCCTCTAACCTAATGTCTAGGCTTCCTTCCCCCCAATTTACTTTCAGTCAATGATGATGCTAAACTTGTTTTCCCTTCATTAGCAGTTTCAAAATTTAACCTTCTCAGGCCCACATAAAACAACCACTTGATACATTAAGAATGTCTTCAGCCATCAGAAAATCAAGTCACTTATGACTTTTCTACCTTCAGAGTGCACTTTGGGGGCTTAGAATATAGCTCCTTGATAAAGTAGCTGCCTAGGATGTAGACTTTAAACAAACGGCAGGACATGGCCTAAGTCCCAGAACACCACTGGGAAGCAAAGGCAGTGAGTTTCTAGGACAGACAGGGCTACAGAGAGACTCTGTCTCAAAACCAAAATAAACAAGGTCCACTTTTAATTGACAAACAGATTCTTAAATATTGTAACTAATTTTACAATAAGTCAAAATTATATAACTAACAGCTTTTACAACCTGGATACTCAATACTGATGAAGCTAACTTTTTCTTTTGCAAGTGAGAGGTTTGACTCTCTAACTTGTGACCTCAGCGATTCTGGTCCTTAAGACACTCCATCCCTTCCTGCTACTGCCAGGCCTTTCTTCACCTAGCAAAAAATTATTGAGGAGAACATAAGACTGTTCAACTAAGTTTTTGCCATCCTAGTACCTAAGAGCATGGAGTGTCTGCAAAGTCCTACTTCAGAGCTGGTATGAATGGGCTAGTTCCACACCTGTGTGAGTTCCTTCTCCAACTTATCAGAACAAAGCTACTTTACATCCCAGGAGAATCCCAGTACCAACAATGCTCTGACAGTACTTAGCAGCCGCTTTCCACAGCGATGCACTGCAAAAATAACAAGCCCTAGCTAATCCAGGCAGCTTTTCCTACATGAAATACACTGTGGGGCTCCGTTCCAACCATCAAATGTGAACGTTAGATGCTTATTTTCAGAGAGCCATAGCCTGCAGAGTGAGATACTGGGAGGGTTTATAATCAGAAAATTGCAAACAGGGATATTTAAACAAGGTGCGGAATGAGAGGAAGAACCAACTTACTGACAGAGCAGATTTGTTCACTTTCTTCCAGTATCTCCCTGCACCCAGGGAAAATCTGTTGTTAAACCCACAATTCACTCTGCGGTTTGGTGTAAAGTCTTTATAAAAGACGTGGAAGTATGGGTCAATATATAATTGGTGGTGCTAAACTGAAAAAGAAGAATTTCTAACAAGGATGGAAAAAAATTAGACAGGAGAGAATCCAAGTTATAAAGACAGATGTTTCAGAACAAAAGGGAGAGTTTTGCTGGTGGCTGTCACAGAGTATGTGTGATGCTCTATCCTACTATGGACACAGGCTTGACTGCACGTGGGGAGGCTTACAGCCACTGACTACCAAAAGCGAAAGCATCAAGTTTTTCTACTAAGAAACAGTGTATGATCAAGAAATCGGTTTAAGAAATCAAACTAAATATCGTTTCTCGATGTTGTACCTCACTTCTAAATTGAGGTTAAAGTGAAGTTAAAAGGATATGTGTGTGTGTGTGTATGTGTGTGTATAACTTAAAAAAATTATTTGTAATGAAAATGGAGCATACACATACACACACACACACACACACACACACACACACTACATAAACTCAAGCAGTACTAAAGATGAATAAGTATGCAAGTTTCTCGAGTACATAATAATCTGAAAAATGTCCCATCCCACAAGAAATCATGTCCGGGACATTACTTATTAATTTAGAAATAAGCCATGATCAGGCATTCATGTGTTTTACACCATGCTCACCCCCAGTATTTTTCAAACCAAAGCATACTACCCCTATAGTACTAATGGGGCAGCAGTTCTCTGTTTGCACGGGTTTACCATGTGGCTTAGCTCAGCCTCAAACACCTTAGTCTGCCGAGCACTTGGGTTATCAGCAGGTGTCACCACAGTCATCAGCTTGAATGTCTGTACTCCTCTGGAGATTAGGGGACAACTTGCAGGACCAAGTCAGTTCCAGGGATCAAACTCAAGTTCAGTCTTGATAGCAAATGCCTTTCCCAAGTGAGCCATTTTGCCGGCCCCTGACTTTTCTCCTTTAATAGTTCCTAGATGTCATTCCTTTCCAGTTCAGACAATTCCCTCATGTTTTCGCCAGTGCCATGTATAACAATGTATTTGTATATATCATAACTTGTTTGGATATTTTATTGCTACTAGATATTAATAAACAATTATATTATTATTTTAAAAATCTCTAAACATACTTAATCTTTCAACCTGTATAAGGAAATAATCCTCAAAAGTTACATGTTAGATGAAAGGTACACAAATTTATTATTCCAATACAAATTATCAAGACCATCCTCACAGGGAACTACAATAATTTATATTCCCTGAGAAAGAATTACAGGGCCTAGACTACCACTGTAATATACTGAAGAGAGTATGAGGAAAGGGGAAGTGAGTGGGAAAACTAGCTTACCTTCCAAAGTCACAGAGTTTTAATACAGCTGTATCAGGATCCAACAAGAGGTTCTGTGGTTTAATATCTCGATGGCAGATTCCAAAGGAATGGATATAGGCTAAACTTCTGAACAGCTGATACATATACAACTGGAATAAATAACAGACATTAATTTAATACCTCTGGTTTCAAACATCGCTGAATCATTATGCAGTAAATGAATAACACTCTTGGCAGACCTCGAAAATGCTGATGATTATTAGTACACAGTTTTCCCCAAACAAGTTTTATGCTATTTCTACATAAATTAGGAAATCAAAGTATCATAGGACATGTATTTATGCTATTCTTTAGTAATTTAGAAAAGGATCCAGGCATGGTGGCATACAACTGAGGCAGGGAAGTCCAAGTTTAAGGCCTACCTGGGCAACTCAGTGAGACCATATCTCAAATTAAAATGTACAGAGGCCTGGGGACATAGCTAAGCAGTAGAGAACTGGTAAAGAGGCCTGGGGATGTAGCTAAGCAGTAGAGAACTTGGTGAAGAGGCCTGGGGATGTAGCTAAGCAGTAGAGAACTGGTAAAGAGGCCTGGGGATGTAGCTAAGCAGTAGAGAACTTGGTGAAGAGGCCTGGGGATGTAGCTAAGCAGTAGAGAACTTGGTGAAGAGGCCTGGGGATGTAGCTAAGCAGTAGAGAACTTGGTGAAGAGGCCTGGGGATGTAGCTAAGCAGCAGAGAACTTGCCAGGCAGGCACCAAGTCCAGGATTAACCCCCTTCACCCACTTTAACATCTAACCTCAAGACAGCTGGATAGATTTTTTTTACTTAAAACACAGATGAAGAGCTCAGAGAGAGATCATAAAAGCCATATGGGTGATAGATAGCAGCTTTTAGATCAGAAGTCAGGCTCATTATTCTTTCTAGTATCTCAGGTTATAAAAGCATAGTGTCATATTTAGTATCATTTATCTTTCTGAAATGTTGGCCTTTTTTTTTTTTTTGTCTTTCTGAAATCATTAATCGAGGCCTAGGAAAACTCACAGGTAGAGTAAGAAATCTAATCAATTGCCTATTGAGACATCAGTAATTCTGCTAGTAAGTAGAATTATCATCTTTCAGAATAATGTAGATTTCCAATGCCATTTAATAACAGAGGCCGGGGGATCTCCGAGTTCAATGCCAGCTTGGTCTACAGAGTAATCTTCAGGACAGCCAGGGCTGCACAGAAAAACCCTGTCTTGAAAATCCCAAACAAACAGATGCCACTGACACTGTGATGATAAATCGTTTGTTTGTTTGTTTGTTTTGGTTTTTTGAGACAGGGTTTAGCTGTAGTATTAGAGCCTGTCCTGGAACTAGACCAGAGCTGGCCTCTAACTCACAGAGATCGGCCTGCCTCAGCCTCCTAAGTGCTGGAATTAAAGGCACGTGCCACCACTGCCCGGCTAATGGTAAATCTTAATTGCTAGCTTGACGGTACTTAGAATAACCACGTCTGTAAGGGCATTTCTAGACTGAGAAGGGAAACCATCTGGATGTGGGCTGCATTATTCAATGGGTGAAGTTCCTGAACTGCATACAAGAAGGGAAGCTCACGCACCACATATCCTCTGAACATGACGGCTGCCCCATGCGCTCCCACCTTGATGCACCTTATCCTCCAGAACTATTAGGCCTCAATAAATAAATATTCTATTTATTTCAAGACCAACACTGTGATTCATTCTTTTTCTTCTTTCTTTCCTCCCTCCTTCCTTATGTATTTACTTACTTATCTGTAATCTCTCCCAGGACAGACTCTGACTTTCTACAAGCTGGCCTTCATCCTGTCATGCCTTCTTACTCCAGACTGCCGAGACTGTAAACGTGTGCCCCTTACCCAGTCAGGCTCACTTTAAATCTTTCTATATGCTTACTTTACAAGCTCTACTCCCAGTTAACACCAAGGAAATCATTGCTGTAATGATTCAAATTAGAGACGGTAGAGTCTGATTTAAAAAACAAACAACATATAAAAACAATAGATTGGTGGTGGTGGCACGCCTTTAATCCCAGCACTCAGGAGGCAGAGGCAGGTGGATCTCTGTGACTTCAAGTCCAGCCTGGACTACAGAGTAAGTTCCAGGACAGCCTAAGGCTAAACAGAGAAACCCTGTCTCCATTAAAGTCCGACCATAAAATGATTTATTCATGATCCCTTGTGAGGAGAGGAGCCCCGTTAGCAGCCCAATTTCCTCTTTAGTGTATATACTGTTCTTAACTTAAAGTCAGTTATGTACCCGTTCCCACCCTTAACCCGAGCTTTAAATTATTTTCAGTTGAAGATGGCAGTGTTTGGATTATTACTCCAAGACAGCTCTATGTCAAGTGTGGGATAAAATAAGTTACTAATTATATTGCTGCCATTAAGAAAAAGAAAAGAAAATTCAAACAACCCCTAGTTGATGGCACAGATAATAAGAATATGTCTCTAATTAGATTCAGTAATTCACAGTTTTAATCCCAGCACTCAGGAAGCTGAATGAAGCAAAAGGATTGCTACAAATATCAAAAGTTCCAAGCCAATCTGAGCTACAGAAAAGATCCTGTTCGCCCCTCCCCTACCGCACTCCAAAAGAGAGGAAAAATATGTTTCTAATCATCTACCACAACTGTAATTAGGATTCTACTAGATAATTTCCTAGCTACTTTGAAATTAGTTCATATTTTAATAACACTAATATTATTATTTGTATTAGATACCAAAAACTAAAGAATATCTGTTCATGTTTAAAACTGACAAGTTTAAATTTCTACAATTGTAATAAATGTAATAAATATGTCTACAAATAGTAATAAAGCATTAAAATGAAGATACGAATAACTATAGATTTACTTAGTAGGTTCCTGCTGTGCTGTGTGGTACAATGAAGACATCTAAAACTAAAATGATGTTACGGGGCTGGGAGATGTCTCTGAGGATTAGAGTATTGCTGCACACACATGAAAACCTGAGTTTGGATCTCCGGAGCCTGTGTAAAAAGTTGGGACTAGCTGTACTTGGCTGTGACCCCAGCACTAGGTGGAAAGGGAGACCCAGGCGAGCCCACACCATGAGCTTCTGTAAGGTTCAGTAAGAGACCTTCTCAAGGCAAAGGTGGGAGGGAGGCTACGGAGGAGAAAGCACGTCCTCCTCCTCCAGCCTTGTGCCTCACCCCATATCACACACACAAGGTGTTATGGCTATCAATCCCTAACTATGAAAGTATCTGTATCTTATCATATTATCTATTCCAATTAATGTATCTCACGTGCATGTGCCTCCAACAGGATGTGTGAGATAGGGCACGCAAAACCTAGAACGCATGTGCAGGCCTAGAGGACAGCTTCCTAGAATTGGTTCTCTTCCACCTCCAGGTAGGTCCTAAAATAGAACTAAGTGACTAGGCTTGCACAGCAAGCACTTCTATCCTTGTGGAGTAATGAAAACTTTACAAAGGACTCCATGCCTCAAAACCAAGTAAGAACCTAACAAAATCTAGTTTGCTGCTTTTCTGGAGTAAATGCAGTATCAACAGAGTTGAAACAAATCCAATATTCTGCATAGCTCATATCAAATGTTTTGCAAACTGGAAGCTGTTCCATTGTTACATACCTTGACATAGATCACAGGGAGTGTCTGTTTGGCTCGACTATAGTGTCTGGCAACTCTGTACACTGTTTCCGGAACAAAGTCCAGCACCAGATTAAGGTAGACCTCATCTTTCTGAAAGAGAATGAAAGAACAAAACAAAACAACAAAAACCAAAAACAGATTAGAGATTGATCTGAAGTATTCAAATTAGAGTATATTCTCCATACATCCATTCATTTTAAAGAAAAGTTTCATATGGGTAATTACAGAAAATTACTTTTGAATATAAGCAGACCTATACAAATGCATTTATTACACTTTATAACCCCAGTATTGTTAAGATTCGCATCATAGTGCCTATGCATATGTTGGATAGTTTATCACATCATAACTTCTACTATTTTCTAGGCTGAAAAACCAGTGTCTCCCATCCTATCAGGAAAGACAGCTTGATGACAGTGTTGAGTCGAAAGCTAAGAAACCAGGCTGCGAGCCCTGGCTCTGCTGCTGATTGGTGTGTGTATGTCAGTCTGCCCAGCCTGTTTCTTCAATTCATATGAAAGGCTGGGGCAAGTAGTCTGTGAAATGCATTAGTCTCCACACAAGTGTTTTTGTTTGTGTGAGAGCCTAAAATTTGCAGAACAGTCACTAATACATGCAACAAAACTTATGGCAATGAGATCATACTCACAGCTTATTAATGGTCTGGGGTGTCAGTTTCTCTTTTTAGTACCATAAAGACAGCATCTCAATGTTAGCAAGATAGAAAAAAGAAAACAAAGCACTAGCCACACCCTGTTCTTTGAACAGCACCAGTTAGGTAAACTGAGGCAGAAAATGGTTACTGAGTGGTGACACTGCAGGCCAATGTTCACAATTCTCCTGACTAACCCAAGGGAATGGCTTCAGTGTCAGGTTTATGGAGTCTCTCCTACAGGTCAATGCTGCTACAGAAGGCTTCCCTCCTGGTGGTAAATATCGTGACAGTGACAGGGCATCTTGCAACACTACAAGTATTAAAGAAAAAAATGTGTGTTTTTTATAACCCTGGTGGTATTTAGCTTTATGTACAGTTTAGCCTGAACTCAAAAGCAACATGGCTACAAAGAAACCTCAAGTGTGCTGAGGGAATCTCATATTAAAATCATCATCAATAAATTAAATTGGAGTTGAGGGGAGAGATAGATTCTATCCTGCTTTTAATACTTAAAATCACTAGTAAGAATTTTGGGTTCTGGCTAGGTGTGGTGTACACACCTTTAAACCCAGCAAGCGGATCTCTGGGCGGCCAAGCCAGCTAGAGATAAACAGTGAATCCCTGCATTCAAAGAAGGGAAAGATGGGGTTCTTGGTTCAAGAGAGAGCAGGCAATGGGGAAGAGACACAAAGCAGTTCATTTATTAATTGACCAGATAGCCCTCAAGTTTGTTCTTAAAACTGGTGGTGGGGAAAGGAAGGTGAAAGCTGGCAGGCAGTGACGCAAGGCCAGCCATGCAAGATCACTGCTGTGCTCCGTGTACTGTTTGTACTGCTTAAACGAGGTTCAAATACATTTTTATATTAAGAAGATAAAGGTGAAATTATAAAGGAAAACTGGTAAAACAAGGTTCTAGGACAGTGGTTCTCAACCTGTGGGTCAAGACCCCCTTGGGTTCATTTGTAATGATGAAAATACATCCTGCATATCAGATATTTGCATTACAATTCACAACAGTAGCAAGATCACAGTCATGAAGTAACAACAAAAACAATTTTATGATTGGGGGTCACCACAGCAGGAGAAACTGTAATAAATGGCAGAAGCATGAGAATGGTTGAGAACCACTGGTCTAGAAGAGTGGGAAATGAAAACAAGAACACAGAGGAGTAAAACAGTATAGTAAAATTTCAAAATGCTCTGAAGTCTGAAACATTTTGAGTACCAGCATGGCATTAAAAACATATCGTCTCGTAGAAAAGGCTGGTCACAGGTAGGCAGGTAAGTAGGATGGTGTGTGTTCTCCAGCCACGTAGGAGGATGACGCTGAAAGACTAGAGCTCAGGACTCCAGGCTAGGCTGGGAAGCATACATAGCAAGACCCTTCCTCAGGAAACAGGAGAGGGAGAGCTGGCTTAGTGGTTCAGAGCACGTGTTCTTGGTTTCATTCTCAGCACCCACATGGCAGCTAACAACTGTCCCAGGAGGTCCAATGCCCCCTTCTGGCCTTCCAAGCTCCAGACACATATAAGTGGTGCACAGCAGACACATATGCAGGAAAACACCCATATACATAAAATAAAATTTAAATTAAAAACACGTATAAAACTAAACTAAAACTAAATGCCACCAGCAAACAAGAACAACATAAAAGCACAGAAAACAAGAATGTACTGAAGTTTTGTACAGAGTTAACGTCAGACAATGTGCTTGAGGCACATGTGAAACATCAACACATTTCGTGTTTAGACTCAGGCCATTCTCAAGACATCACACTATGTAATATTTCAAAGTCTTTAAAATTCCAAAATCCAACATCCCTCGTCCCAAAGCTCGAATAAGAGAAATTCAACCTTATACTCAGGACCCAGGTTCAGTGGACCTCAGGACTTAGAAGCTGTTAGCACATGAAAACCTTTATCTAAAGGACTATGGACCAGACAAACGGCTAGACAGTGGTTAAGTGGTTAAGAGCACTTGCTGCTCTTGCAAAGGACCTGAATTAATTCCTAGCACCATACGGTGGCTCACAAACATCTATAACCCCATTTCCGGGGTATCCAAAAGATATGCATGTGGTGCAAATATATGCACTCAGGCAGACCATTCCTACTTACAATGTAAAATAAAAAGCATCTCGAAAGAAACTTAAAAATAAAAGATTACTAAACTCGAGGGCTCCTGATTCTAAAAGTATTTGTCAAAGTTTATCATGATACACTTATGAGCAACTCAGAAATGGGGAGAGTATTTGCTAATGAATCGCACCAGGAAGGAAGAACACAAAAATTAAGGATGAATGCTGAGTGCTCAGTAGAGGCTTCTAACTGTAAGGCTCCAGTCTGTCCTTCGTAAGTGCAATGGTTGAGATCACGGGTTTTTTGTTTTGTTTTGTTTTGTTTTCTCTCTCTCTCTTCAAGATAGCAAAATCGGGGGTTTCAATGCTTACTTTTTATTTTACTATTGGGATCTAATATCCCCCACTGACTCATGTACTGATGGTACTGGGAGACAGAAACTTTAGGAAGTGGACTAAGATGGAGGATCTTGTCCCTGCTCCCTTGCAGGCTGCTGCTCATTATCAATGCATTCAGTCCCTCTCCCAGAGTCTCACTGCAGGAACACTTCTAGCATTGCTGAAAAGTCCAAAGCCAGTCTCCTGAGTCTCAAACCAAACCATCATCTATGAGCTCTGTAAAATCAAAACTAAGTTACGTACTTTGAAAACCCAATAGTGGGAGAGACAGGGTTAACATCCCTGTTGCAAGTGGGAGGAACAGTAGAAAACCAAGTCTAAACATGGACAAAATTAAATCTTAGCCCTAGGATACTCATTCCCCAGTCCTTCCTTCCGCCACATCTTTCCACGATACTATTTCAGGTTGTTGAAAGCCTCACCAAACTGACAGCCTGAAAATACTGCTGATATCAGTGAAAACCTCTGAAGTTGTGAGTTGAAACAATTTACTATAAACTGTTTTCCTCGGACATTTTTGTCATGCCAGTGTTTTGCAAGCTGACTAACACTGTGTATGAGTCCATTTATTAGAATTTGAAGAAACAAATGTACAGTCCGTGTGTGTGATACGGTGAGGAGCAGTGGTGGCGCGTCAGTTTGAGACTTAACTAGATAGATTCATAAACAATTCCCAAAATGCGCTAACCAAAGACAAGCCTCAGCAGGGACCTGATGGTTAGCCTGCAGGATCTCATTTGACCCAGCCGCCTATAACTGACATCACCAGGAAGGATAGCTGAAAATGGAAGACCAAGTTCGGACTGTCAGGCTCTAACAGGCCAGATTGATCTACTGAACTCTTAACGTGAAAGTTAACCAAATGGAAAGCCTTATAATGAAAATTCAGAGCATCAATATACAAAGACAGACCAGATGAAATCAAGATCAAACCTGACAGTCACCTGGAAAGTAAATGGCAGGTGTGACTGACAGGGCTGAACAGGAATCAACAAGATACTTCTAATCAAGCAAAAGGGACTGAGCAGAAGTGCTGTGCTCTGACCAATAAAGATAAGTCCACTCTGCTCTGCACAGGTCAGGCCTCATTACAAGTACTGGCAAAAGTCCCTTTTTAGGCAGCATGGTTCAACAAAATAGAATGCATCAAAGAGAGGTAAATAAAATCATGTGTACTAGAGGGCCAATACTCCAATTTATTATACTATGAGAAATGTGGAGTTTAAATAAGGGTTTTTGTTTTGATGTTTTAATATACATTAAGTAACATGAAGTGAGATGTTCAACCCCAGAACACAGGTAGAGAAATGTGACATTTCACAGTCTCAATGACTCTTCATTTGGCGGTTTCTGTAAAGATTGCTCAGGTAACTCATATTTATGACAGTATTTCACAAAGAAGGAAGGCCCAGGGTCCACACTTCTGGCACTTGTAATTTCTGAAACTCAAGGATTGCTGGAACCTCAAAACAACCTCCTTTAATTGCCAGAAAATTCAGGAATTGGATGTAAATTTAAAGCTAATGACAAAAGTACAACACAGAAATATGGCTTCAAATGCAGGCGCACAAGTCACCAATCCCAGAGCTGCTGCCGAGCTTCCACTGGCCCGAGGACCAACACTGCAGGATTCTGTGAGAGCATCTCCTACACAAAGTGGATCTCACTGAGAAACTGCACCCGCTTACATAATGTGGGATTTACGGAGCCTTGGTCTCCACAGCGGCTCGGTTTCCCAGTTCATCGTTGCTCCCTCATCACTGGTTATCCAGTCTTCTCTGGATGCCGTATTTAAGCCACACAACGCGAACATTTAAATGCCACAGTTTAATACCACCTCGCAGCAGTGGCGGCAGCAGTAGCAGGGACAGACTCCAGTTATCACTGTAAAACAGGCAGTATTAAGATGCTTCTGTCCCCAGTTGACTGGTGATGAGAAGGAGAGAAAACCGCTTTAGG